GTGCCAGTAAATGGTACACTAGTTAATTTTAACTAACTCTTGTACAATTAGAAATATAGAAACCAGGTGTGGTGGCACACGCCTGTAATCCCAGCACACAGGAGGCTGAGGCAGGAGGATCACTGTGAGTTCGAGACAAGACTGCGCTACATAGTGAGTTCCAGGTTAGTCTCAACTACATAGTGAGACCCTGTCTCAAAAAAAAACAACAAAAAAAAGGAAATATAGAAACACCCTATAGTAATAAAATATTAGCTTATCTGTAAGTTATAACAATTTTCAGTATTATGCACCTAGCATCATGGCTTCACAATGTATGAAGCAAAAATTAAGAAAACTACAAAAGATATAGATATAGTATAATAAAAGTGGTAAAGTTAACAAACTCTCATAAAATAACAAAGTACTAAAGATAAAGCAGTTTTGAATAATACAATTAACAAACGGCATAATAGCGATGGAAAACTAGATTCTGTTACAAAGAATGAACATTTTTTCAAGCACTAAACTTGTAAAAACTGATTGTATAATGACCAATGACCATAAACCAAGATTAATAAATTTAAAAGGATTGGAATTATATAGCATATGCTTTTTGGACCTAGTTCCATTAATATGTATAATTCATAATGGAAAGTTTATAAAGTGGCTATGTTAAAATTAATATTTTCCAGTTATGCAAAGATACCATAAAGACAGTAAGAAAACAGGCTACAGAGTGGAGAAAGATAATGGCAATACATAATAATCAGCAAAAAGTATATCTGAAAATATATAAGGACTTCAATAAATCAATATAAAACAAGTAACCATTCATTAAAAGAGTAAAAAACAGCTACTTCACAAGATCATCTTAAAAATACATGTATGACTATAAGTGCACATTCACATTAAAAATAACAGAAATTAAAATTAAAATAATAATTAGATCTCACAAGATAGCAATAGAATAGATACAGATAGAAACTGTCAAAAATTGTAGACATCCTCTGAATAATTTTTCTAAAGCAACACAGTATCTTTTTAAAGAATTTCTAATCCTGTCTGAATTAATTTTGACATTTAACAAATACAGTGAATGCACAAGACAGATAGGTTGAATGATTAACTCCAAATCACTATGCCTCATTTTATATGTGTCCTTAGAAGTAGATTATATTATGTAGTGATGACTTTGGAAACTGAGCTTGTGCTTAGGCCAGAACTGTTATTCTCAGGTCCTACTATATGTAACTATTTTCTCCAGGGCAGAGCTTCCAGAACATTCTTGCTGTCAGATTCTAGCTAGAGTAGGTAGTGCTACACCTACCAAATTATGAGGTGATTTATTCTGAATCAGCTTTGTATTCCCAGGGCATAGTTGACCCACTTATCCCTAACGCACGCCTCTCTAACAGAATCAACTCCATCAGAAAACACATGAAGAATTATCATTGTAGTGCAGGAAATGAGAAATGTTTGAGAAGATAAATGTGTTTACCCACATATGAACACCACAAAATACATTCATGTATGAAAGAAAACATCACATGGTACCCCATAAATATGTACAATTTTTTAAATTTTTCTGAAAAATCTGGTTATAAAAATGTATAGTCACTATCAAGTAATTTTGCCTCCCTGCCCTCTGTGGATTGATTGTATTTAGGCTTTCAAATTTCAGTCATCAATACCTGTCTCAATTTATAATCAATTAGTGGAAATTAAAATAAATATGAAAATATGTTATTTATCCCCTACTTTCAAAATCTGTAAATCTTCATAGAAAAGGTTGAGCAAATTACTTCATTTCTGTAAGTCCCAATTTTCTCCCCAATGGTAAAATTGGTACAATGATACCATACATTTTTTGTGAGGCTTTAAATAATTTGGTATATGTTAGTAGTCTGCATATAAAACACACTTTTAAAATTGTTTGTTTTACAATAATGGTAGTAAAAACTAGTAATAGTGATAATGGAGGTATAAATGTATTTCAAAACTAACCTTTATATTTAGAAATTTTTTAAAATAAGCCAAGCTCTTCCTTGCAAGTAATGACCAACTTCTAAAAGGCTAGAAACTAAACTTTCAAAGTTAAAAATGTAAAATGATAACATATGAATGTTCAGCCCAAGGACTGCAGGGAAGGCAAAGAAAAT